CTAAATTCACTGGAATACTCGAATGTACACCATAATTACCGAAACACCGAAATTTATTGCCATTTTTGTCAGGGAGTCAAAATGCTCCAAGGCGGACATCTCAAGGATACTTCTTTATATATTGCTCACTTAAGCCCTGACAAACAACAAAACCTAACAACGTTTGATGATAAGATAACTGATAAGATCTTCGTCAATGCCAATTTTCCGTTCTTCAATACGACCCCTCAAGCTTCCATTGGATAATTTAGTCAGTAATGTAGACTGCAATTTTCTGGGTTTCATAGGTTTCTCCATCAATAAATGGCAGTACTGGGAGTTGAAGAAAATAGCCAGTACAATGATGGCATTTAAAATCGGAACGTAATAAAACCATAACAGCGGCTTGCTGGATGGATACTGTTAAATCCAAATGACTATCCAGGCCGACGTGGGGTGATGTGCAACCTCAGAAGCCAAGTCCGAATGTTCTAGAGGTTTATTCGGCTCCAACAATAGCGAATAAGTATGCGGTACTGCAAATATTAGGCGGTAAAATTACATTAAAACATCACACCTCAAATCGTGGTGTTCCCAGGGGTTATACTTGAACCTGCGAAATAAACAATGCCAATCGAGAACCAAAATAAAAATGAGGGAGTTCACCACTCCTTCAAACGAATAGGCGATAAGTGAACTAACGTCAAAGAGCACTTGGGACAGGGTGAGGCATGGGTGAGACACGACTAATCTGAATATTATTAGTCAACTCCATGCGATAGTAATAGGGCAGAGTGAGTCAAACCAAGGTCAGGGACAAAGGTCACGAGAAAGAGAGGAGGAGGGGGGCTAACCGAGCGTGAATGAGTGTGGGCGAATGGAGGAATGGAAAGGCCGAAAAGTGCACGTACGGGTCAAGACAATGACACTTGTGGGAGAGGTGACTAGACAGAATGTTGGGGTGGATGATGGAGATTTAACAAAGACAGAGAAATTATCTTGTGTTTTATGATTCGAAACAACGGAAAGCACAAATATCTTCATTGCCTGAGATTTCTCAATTACCGAACAGTTCCATGTGTTTAGTAACACTGCTCTCCCTTTGCGATAATAATTGAACGTTGCGTATGAATCTTGGTATAAATCTGAGTATAAATATTGGCGTATAGAGCTTGCCTGGGGGTAAAGAGCATCACTAAGTGTTTATTTTTATAGATATGTGACAGTTTGCCAATTGCTTTTGCGGAATGTATCTTGCAGTAGAAAGCATCGCACAAGAATCGGATATGATACTTTTACTCCTAAGCCTAATTCGAACTTTCCAAACAAAAATCTTGGACCTTCACGAAAGTAATTTTCGCTTGTCATTAGTGAAGTGCATGGGGTGAAATGACCGTGGATTCCAGAAGTAACTTGATTTACGGTTAATCTGAACTTATACGGAAATAACTTTGAATGATTCTGGATAACTGGAGACACTGGGGATAAACACTGCTATAAGAATGGATTTTTACATCGCTTAACACCGAATCCGCCTCAGTCGACAAACATTTATGGAATGCCTTATTTTAAGAATAAATAAACGCTGCGAATCAAAGAACTGCTCCACAATTTGATCCGTGATGGGGATGTCTCCGACAGAGTGCAATGAAAGGGGTTATGC